AGAAAGCTGTCTAATCTATTCAAAGCAGAAATTTACAGTATGTTCATAATATATCTTGTTTGTTATCTCTTTATACTTTATCTACTAAACTATTCCTTTTTTATATATGTATTTGATGGGCTGGATGTTTGACCACTATTTTGAACATACTGTAAATTAAATATGAAGTAAACATTATATTATATGAAATGGTTATGTATTATATGTATAAGACATAATATGCGATAAAACTGTCAATCGAAAAAGCTTAAAAATGGCATTTGGTTGCATAATCTTATTTTTAAGTTTATTTACGAACGTAAAGTACAAGAAGGAATTTAAATATCCCAATATCATTACATACATAAATATACATCATCTCACACTTGTCTCCTACGGGGGTAGGCAGAGACTATACGACTTCAATTTAAATATTACTTTAAAGGGTAATGCATAAAGATGTAACAATGCCACTGTACAATGTAACACCCACTTTTCACTATTGATGTTATGAGTCCCATGTAATATGGGGTGAGTCTACTGTCATATTGGGCAGTTTCATATTCCTCGCAACTTAAGAGCTATTATTGACAATGTCGTAACTACAACGACACAATATATAACTTTAGCCGAATGCGTCTAAATAGAGATTTTAGGTGAAGCACATATCTTCACTGACGGACAGATTGACAGGGTATTATTTATTTTGTATTTATTGACATGTTTCAAAAGTACCAAATTACAGTTTACTTGAAATAAATGCTTTGATTTTGAGGTCTGATATTAGATATTATAATATTTAATTATCTTCTTGTACTTTGCGAGCTTTTAAAGCAATGCAATGTTATAGTATGTCTTGTAATATTTATATTAAATATACAAATTACACACGTAAGCTGTTCGTTTATTCTCGATCAATTTCAAACCATAGTGGGGCTCATAGTATTGTATTTCTTTTTGTCTGTAATTATGATTCACTGGGTTATAACTCTTACTGGGGTAAATAGAACTGCGTTATTTGTTAGAATGACGTCACGCATGCAGGTCATGATTGTGAGTCCCCGTGTGGCTAGAAACTGGTCGAGAATATTCAAAAAACTTACATAAGTATGTAAGTCATGTATTTATTTAGTTTTAGACATAGGTATTCGAATTTGAGTATTTAACTTTTCGAGATTTTTAATAATACATTTTTTTAACAGAGTAACGAATGGAGTTTTTTGCTCGTTCTTCTCCATTCGAAACTACACTTTGGAACGAGTACCTAGCTTCACTGATAGACAGACTGACGGACTATTATATTTTGACATTTCAAATGTGCGAAATTAAGGAATAATTGTAATAATTGCTCTGATTATAACTTTGAAATGGTTTTGAAGTACTATAAAATCACATTGCTACATACAAATCCTTATTTATAAGTTTTTATATAAAAGTATTATAAAAATACACACGAATATCAGCAGGTACTAATACTATCTATATTTTATTGTTTCATATCGATAAATATCTTTAATTTATCAATTTGTTTAGTATAAAATATACTGAGACTCAAAATTGTCACCTTTACAAGTCAAGGACGTAAACAACATAACATCACGCCTTTTATCCCCGAAGGGGTAAACAGAGGTACACATTATGCCACTGTACAATATAACACCCACTTTTCACTGTTTATGTCACGAGTCCCATGTAATAGGGGGTGAGCCTATTGCCATATACCGGGCACAATTCCAGACTCCGTGCTACTACTGAGATTTTTTTACAAATCCAGTAATACTTTGCCGGACCCGGGAATCGAACCCGAAACCCCTTGCCCGGCAGTCGCACTTGCGACCACTCGGCCAACGAGGCAGACGTAAACAAATATGGCCAAATATAATGACACTTACAAGTGATTGACACCAACATGTAAGTGGTGTATATGGGCGTGTACTTGCAACACCGTAATGTATGAAGTGTAATGACGGGGCATTTAACGCAACAGATGCCCTTCCTGTCAATGTATTTGTATTCTGCGTGTAAGTCTATAGTTGCCAGCAGCTGTAAAGGCCCAGTGGCTTTAGCCAAACGCCACTTTAGCACTTGTCTACAGAGAGAGTAGAAAACTAAATGTATGGGGATGACACTGACAAGTGTCAAAATTTACGTCAATTCTTACTAATATTATAAACTAGCTTCTGCCAGCGGCTTCGCCCGCGATCCCAGGGATAAAATGCCTATTTATCACTTCAGACCATAATCTACCTCTATTCCGAATTTTATTCCGGTCCCTTTAGTCGTTTTAATACGACTGAGTAACAAACATACACATAAACTCACATATTTTCATTTATAATATCGAGTCAAGCTAATTTCAACCATCCGCCTTTCAGTTACAGCGTAAAGTCTATGAATGAGTATTGAAAACGTTAGAGTTGACAAATACAATCAGAAATCACCGGATTGCTAAGCTATCGGGAGTTTCACGTGTTATTGTGAGTCAACCATAAAAGATAGACATATGCTGTAAACAAATATTTTTTATATAATTTTAAGGAGAATATTTCCGTCATACATGATTTCTATGCAGCTTTAACCTATAAGCCTGCACACGCGACGGAAGCTTAAAAAATGGAGTTTTCCCAACATTTTCCTTCACTGCTCTGCTCCTATTGACCGTAGCCTAATGAAAAGTATACTATAACCTCCCCAAGAGTATGAAGAATAATTGTGCCAAATTTCGTTAAAATCCGTCGAGTAGTTTTTGTTTCCATAACGAACATACAGACAGACAGACAGACAGACAGACAAAAATTTTATTGATTGCATTTTTGGCATCATTAGCGATCCCTAACCACCCCTTGATAGTTATTTTTTAAATACATTTTATGTACAGAATTGACCTCTCTACAGATTTATTATAAGTATAGATTGGAAAGCGAGTTTGTTTGTTTGTTCCGCTTTCACGCCGTAACTCAGTAGTTACGGCGTGAAAGCGTTAAAAAAATCAAAGCAATCGGTTCAGTAACCGATTGCTTTGATTTTTTGCAGACGTAAAGTTAGAAGTCTGGATTAAATAATAGAAACATTTGATATTCCCGAGGGAAAACAAAAGTTAAAGCAAAAGATAGATGGTGCTGTGTGTATTGGTATATGTTACATAAGCTACTTTTTATCCTTTTGTGACGCGAGCGAAGCCGCGGGTAAAAGCTAGTTCCGTATAATTTGGTTTTCTATTCTACATGTAGACAAGCGCTAAATGGCATTTGGCTACAGCTGATGGTGCCACAGTCGTTGTTTCAAAAGACTATGTCAGCTTTTTTTCTACGTCCTTGTTTTAAATATTAGTTTTATTTCATACGTTAAAAAATACATAGTCCAATATTGAGATATTTTTCGAATTATGAAGTTGTATTGTCATTATGTTCAAGTATTGCTGAGTTTCAAAATATAAGCAATAAGTAATATCACTGTTTTGAAGCTGGGCTTTTGTCATGTATCAAATTAACTTTTTCTAATATAAGTTGCACTAAAATTTGGCAATTTCGTAAAATATCACTGTTTAAAAAAGCTGCCTAGGTACCTTCTAATCCCTAAAGGGGTAGACAGAGCTGCACATATGCAATGTAACATCCAATTTCCCCAGTTATATCATGAGTTCCATGTAATAGGGGATAAGTTTTGTAAACCACAATTCATTAGGCCTTTATATTTTAAGAAATTCATTAATTAATACTTTTAGAATTCATAATCGTGATTTCGGTAGATAATTATTTCATTAGATCATTCTTTAAATGGTAGGTACAGATGTACATTCTTGTAATTATAGTTTTTGACGCCAATAACAGTAATTTTATAGGTAAAAACTAAGGACTTTGAAAAATGGCGGACATAATATCACTTACAAATGATTGAAGCACCGAAATGTTAGTTGTTTTTTTATGTGTGCGTGTGTAATGAGTTACCACGTTACTAGACTTAAGAAAATGACAGATGTCCTTCGTGTCAATGTGTGTGTGTATTCTGCGTGTAAGTCTATAGTAGTCAGGTGCCACAGTCATTGTTTTAAGAGACTATATCTGCCTCTTTTTCAATGTCCTTGGTAAAATAAGTCGTTTAGAAATATGGTATAGATACTACTCGAATCGAGTTGAATAGATCTATTGATTGTAAAATTTGATACATTTTGTCGGATATCGTAACAAATTAGATATGAATGTTTTTCTTTTGTTTACGGAATGATGTTCGCGTTGTCTTTATGTAGCTGGATTTTCTTCTGATGTTCGTGTTGTAGTTATGTAGTTCGAGATTAATTTACGTTAAAAATTAGGTACTTGCCTTAAACTGTCAAACACCAAGCGGACACCGGTGACCGCAACCTATTGTTCTTTAATTGTGTCTATAAATACGGTATTCGACGAGTTAATCAAAAATAAATTATTTCGACTGGTCAATACAATAAGATATTAAAAAATAATCACACTTTCATTTATTGATTTTATGACCAACTTAATTTTAGTATTTCTCCAGTAAATTTTTAAGAAATAAGTATGCTGTTTGACGCTAAAAAAACGTAACGTCACAATACACAATCTCGTACAAAATTTACAGAAAACTGTCGTTTCTGACAGTTCGAAAAAAGTATTAAATTTAACTAGTTGGCAAGTACCCAATCAAACTAATCTTAATCATAATTTATCTCATCTTTTAACGATTTTAATTCCAAATATTTTAAATTCTTTTGAGATTCTTCCGGAGTTCGTGTATTAATTTAGCATTTTTGACCAATAGGCTACTTTTTTCTTCTGACAACGCGAACAAACCCGCGGTATATTACTATACACTTCGATTGGATTAGTGTCTATACCACAATTGGCTCAAACAAAGATGACCTTTAATTTTTGACAATTTTTTCAGATTTTACAAGTTAATAATAATTGTATAAAACAAATAGATAGGTATAAAGATAAAGGATATGTTGTGTGTTAGTTTTTGTACCTGATCCGTAAACTAACGGGTCCGGTCGGAGCCCCGGGTAGTTAATATCTGGCATTGGCGATTCTGTAATGGAGAAAGGATTCGGGATTAATAAGTTTAATAGATACGGATTAAAGTCATCGCACACTTAACAAGCACGGCTCCAACTCAGTAATTAATTAATCACGATTTGATTTGATGGGCCGATATTTCAATCATTAGTTAAATTGTGAATTGTGAAAAAAAGTGAAGCAACGCTTGCGTTGTGTTTCGTCGTGTGAGTGAGGTTACCGGAGGCCTAATTACCCTACCCTTTCCCAATCTTCCCAATCCCTGAATCCCCAACGATCCTCAAAACCCTAATCCCCAAAAGGCCGGTAACGCACTTGTTACGACGTGTTCCAGGTGTTCATGGGCGATGCCGATTGCTTACCATCAGGTGATCCGTCTGCTCGTTTAACCGGTCCGTTCCGTTCCGGTAACCTCACTTATGCGACAAACCACAACGCAAGCGTTGCTTCACGTCGGTGTTTTGTGAGGCCGTGGTATCACTCCGGTCGTGCCGAAGCATGGCTCTACCACACTTAAATTAACCTCTTGTCTGTCTATATATGAGACACAATAGAAAACATTAGTGTCTCGCGCAGATCTGCTCTAGTACAGGTTAAACAACATTTAACAAATAAAGCTAAAGCATTCACTATAAACACATATTTACTCAAAAAATCTACAAAAAAGGCAAAGTATAAAACATCAAAAAAATAAGCTGAACTCACCGTCTTCCCGCATATACAGCATATACTCCGATAATGGAGAGTATAGTAGAAAGAGACGGCGAAAGACTGGCCGCGCCGCCGTACCGAGCCGTGCCACACGCCGGCGGACACACCGGGATTATAGACTCTACAGACAAACATTTTAACGTAACATGCGGTGGAAATGGCTTGGCATGCTAAAATTGCTTTATCATGTTATTTTTATAGTTTTCACTGGATGTAATCAAGGGCTGGGAATGGATTTGAACATGTAGAAAAGATGGATGCAGATTTACGAATCAAGTAGATAAAGATAAAGTACGAATAAAACCTATACAGAGCGGATATGAATGGGACCGTCGGTAGAAGACGACTCAGATAGGCATATATATTGACCAGATCGGGATATATTAAAGAAGGGTCAAATTAAAAGTACCCTTAACCTAATCTTGACAAGAAAGATATATTCTACTGTTTTAAATCCAAATACCAATTTTTTTTTATATTAACATTGCCCCGCCTTAGGATTTTTCCGATGCGTGGGTTCACATCCACATCACACTCAAACCCGGAACAACAATTTGTGTATCGATGAATGCGGGATTTGAACCAGCGACATATTGCCGGTTGCCCAACCGGCTGCCGCGCTACACCAGTCCCCGCACCAACTGTGTAATTCGAATAAGTAGCTAGTAATCAGCTAAATCAATAATAACATATCTCCACCTACGATTTAAACAACTCAGTTTAATGTACCCCCTTTGACCAACAGTGATGATTTAAAAAAAGTCATGATAAACCAATTTTACAATACATTGCAAAACAGAAATAGGGAATGAATGAATAATTTTATGCATACAACATCATAAGCTATTTGGATGATAATAAAAAGATAGTAATATTGAATGTAATAAAGAAAAATATTGGCATTCGATAATATTTTAAACACTACATAAAAATCAACCTCTATTCTACTTGGCAACACTTGATGTTCAAATACCATCACCAGACGGCGCAGATGTAGGAAGATATTTTTATCCAATCGCAGTGATTGGATTGGACGAAAATATATTCTATCCAATCAAATATTAAACACCTAAATGATGTGACTCTAGCAAATTCTTTATTGGACGAAATACGAGGTTCACACCAGCGCCATCAGGGTGCTTACTCTTGAAACCAATTCCAATGTCATGATGCAATTTCAATGTTATATGTTCAATGTCAACACTATACAACCACTGTTAAAATACATAGCATTCCGAGTACGGAATATAAAGCTGAACTCAATACCATTTAGTTCATTAAATATCCACGCAATACAGATGCAATGGGCGCTAGTGTTGCAACTCGAGAGTACGAAATTTCACAACACCAATGTCGATCGATCGGAATTGGATTCAAGAGTAAGCCCGATGCAGCGTTATTATCAAGTCCAAATCCAAAGTCAGAATGGTTCCATTGAGGGAAAGAAACAAAGCTATACAAGTCGTCTAGCGAGATCTCGTTCCGTCAGCGGAACTACTCTGGCTTTAAGACGTCATACGTCTTAAAGCCAGAGTAGTAGACCAACATGTAAGTGGTGTATGTATGCGGGTACTTGCAATACCGTGATGTATGACGTGTAATGACGGGCCATGTCACGCGACAGATGCCCTTCCTGTCAATGTGTGTGTATTCTGCGTATAAGTCTATAGTAGCCAGCAGCTGTAGCTGTAGCCAAATGCCATTTAGCGCTTGTCTACTTGTAGAGTAGAAAACCAAATTATATGGAATTGTCGTAAATTTTGCCACTTGTCAGTGTCATCCCCATACATTTAGTTTTCTACTCTCTCTGTAAACAAGCGCTAAAGTGGCGTTTGGCTAAAGGCACTGTTCAGCAAAAATACGGTAGCCCCCTTCCCCATTATAGACGGACAACGTTTATAATAATTTTTGTAACACACTTCGCATATAATGTTGCCAAGTACATACAAAGCTTAAAGAGCATACAAAAATCAAAAATGAATGCTTTATCATAAAAACTATAGCATTTACATTAAAATATTCTATAAAAATGCACTCACCGACTAATTCGACTTGCCCCTCATCGGTTCCTAGTTTGTTCTGCGCCTTGCACTTGAACATACCGTACTGGCGTTTTTCAATGGTGATCACTCTGATTGTAGTGTCTGTAAACTCGTCTGCTGTCGCGAAATGAGAGATTCTGTGGACAAAAATGTAATTAGGGCAAGATTTCAATAAATAACCAATTCATTCAGTAATCCGCCGTGCTTTCAGGGAAGTGATCGGCGATGGCGACCTCTCGCGTCCGGGCCTAGTGCAGGCCATGATGCGGAGCGAGGGGGACTGGGATGCCGTCTCCTCCTTTTGCGAAGCAGTCATGCTAGCTAAGGAGGAGGCGGGACGCGTGAGGCAGCGAAGCGCTGCCTCCTCGCAACCCAGCCATCGCGAAGGACACACCGGGCGTCGGGGATCGCGGGACGATCTCCGGCCACCGTAAGCGCGGGCCTTCGGACGGCGAGCATGGGTGGCTCCCCGTCCGACCAGAAACAGACCCGAGCGTACGTCGCCGAGCGTTCCGCGCGCGCCTCAAAGAGCCATCAGACGGGGCCCAATAGGGCCGATGCCGATTCGGAATCGCGGAGAACCTAACGGGTAACCGGGGCTCCGGCTCGACGTGCAGGAGAAGCAACGGGGTGGTTTTCAGTCAGTAAGAGTCTGACACTCTCTCCCGCCTCACCCAGGCGGGAGCAGTCATTCGATGATTTCCCCCCTTAAAAAAAAAATTCATTCAGTAATTCTTCATTAGCTTTAAAACTTTTCAATTAATTCCAAATCAACATCAACAGCCTATAAGTAGCCACTGCTGACCAAAGGCCTCTTCTCAATCACGTGTGCTCAATGCGGGTTGGCAATTTCAAACTTATTGTTAGAAATTATAAACTCAGATTTCCTTACTATGTTTCCTTCACTATTTTTCAGTGGCATCTAAATAGTCTTAGATATATATAATTCGGAAAATGTCACATTGGTACTTGCCGTTGGTAGGTTTCGAACACGCAGCTATAAAATATCCCGCTTTTTAAGAGGGGAAAATCATCGAATATCTTCTCCCGTCCGGGTGAGGCGGGAGGGAGTGTCTTACTGACTAAAAACCGGCATCGGCATCAGCCCTATTGGACCATCCGTGGTGGTCTGATGGGTCTTTGTATCGCGCGGAACGCTCGGCGCCGGCCCATAATATCACGGTACCAGTAATAGGTAGAGGCAGAGCGGGTAAAACCGCGCAAAAGTAGCTAGTTTCAATATAAATTACCTGTAATGCTGGTTATTGGACAGTTGCACTTCATCCTTAAGCCATGTAATAGCGGGTGGGGGGTAGGCTTCCACGTGGCATTCGAGGTCCATGTCGTATTGAAGAGCCTGGAAAATTATTTTAACAATATTGATTTATTTGGTTTTAATAACTACTGTTGCGACTGCAGGCAGAGTGGTCGCAGGTGTGATTGCTGGGCAAGGGGTCTCGGGTACGATTGCCGGGTCGGGCAAAGTTTTACTGAGCTTTTTTAATAAAATCTCAGTAGTATAGCACGGAGTCTGGAAACGTGCCCGGTATACGGCAATAAGCTCACCTCTAACATGGGACTTATAATATAAATAGTGAAAAGTGGGTGCGTTGTTTCACGTCTGTTTTCTGCTCAGTCGTGGTATCACTCCGGTCGAATCGGCCCATTCGTGCCGAAGCATGGCTCTCCCACACTTAAAAATCTACACCAATATGCTTACAATTACAATATGCTTATGACTGCCTCGTTGGCCGAGTGGCCGGGCCCGAACCCGAGACAAGGGGTCTCGGGTTCGGGATTCTCGGATTCCCGGGTCGGCCAAATTATTACTGGGTTTTTAAAAAAATATCAGTTGTAGCACGGAGTCTGGAATTGTGCCCGGTATATGGCAATAGGCTCACTCCCTATTACATGGGACTCATAACATAAATAGTGAAAAGTGGGTGTTACATTATACAGTGGCATAATGTGCACTTCTGCCTACCCTTTCGGAGACAAAAGGCGTGATGTTATATGTTATGTCATATGCTTACAAAACTTTTAAATATAACCAACCTGAGCCAATCTCGGTCTAGGGACGGTGACTACAGGTGCAAACTCGACCTCCAAGTTGATATTCCTCCTCGCTCCCTTACCGACTCCGTTCTCAGCCACGCAGTAGTAAGTACCTCGGTCTTCCTTATGTACAGCTGCTATTTTCAGGATGTTGCCTCTGAAATGCATGAAAGAATCTAGTATTACTCCCACGCTCCCATTACGCATCGCCAGAACTTACGAATTGATTCGCATCGCGCATCAAAATCTTATCTTCCCAAAATCTTCTTTGTTTCTTTTTCCTGTATCTCCTAAGCAATAACAGAAGTGCACAGTTATTTTTACGATCCATGTCACGACCTAGTTTTCAATTTAAAATACGATTAGTACGGTTGACGGTCGTCGAAGGAATGGTCACCCTGGGAGACGCCTTGTAGCACGAAATCGCATCACAGCAATTCGCATCGTCATTTTTTGCGTTGTGAATTCGCATCGCATTTTTGTGTATGAACAAGCCGTCACTCCGGTCGAGTATTCATGGCGAAACATGAAACTCCTAGGTGAGAAACATATTTAAATAATTTAGTGTAATTATTACCGGTAGATGGAGCCACCAGTAGGTAAGATGGCATTGTTCTCACGACGCCAAGAGATCTTCGGGGGCGGGAATCCACCAGCGTAGCACTCCATCTGCACGCCTATTGAACACAAAAATGGATACATTAGTAATAAGATACGCCTGAAGTAGTGAATTTTAGCCGTGTGCTGACAGCATAGATAGGTAAATTTGTCACCACCCGTGTTCTTGCAGTGGGTTAACAGATAACCAAGCAGATTTTTTTAAGGGGGAAGAATCATCGAATGACTTCTTCCGGCTGGGTAAGGCGGGAGGGAGTGTCAAACTCTTACTGACTAAAAACCACCCCGTTCCTACTCCTGCACTTCGAGCCGGAGCCCCGGTAACCCGTTAAGTCCTCCGCGGCTAACCAACCCTGTGGAATTTGTTACTATGTTCTAACCTTCCAGCAGGTGTCATACTCGAATAAGGGATACAACCCATACTTCAACACATTTGTCAACAGTAACCACGTCATCTTCAGTTGGATTTGGGATACATACAGTATAGTACAAATTTCACAAAGACTGGGCAGAAATGTATGAATAGTTTGTCGTATCGCGGTTTCGATTCCCGCATGAATCAACTCTTTGTGTGATCCACGAATTGTTGTTGAGTCTGGGTGTAAATGTCATGTACGACACAGGAGAAAACTTCTAGTGGGGCAATATTTAAAAAAAAATAGTCTTTTGTTCACAGCAGAGTAGACCTTTTATCTATTGAAACACATTATGGCCGCAACTTTCAACAGACAAGAGGATAACCATCGCTTCTCTTCCCGCGGTGTACACTGTACCCGACTAAGATGACCTAACCTAATCATCATCCACAGATGGGGCCCAATAGGGCCGATGCCGATTCGGAGTCGCGGAGAACCTAACTAGTGTTGCCCAAATGCAAGAACAAGACGAGACTTAGCCAGTCTTGGTCTTGGTCTTGCGCCAATACACCTGGTCTTGGTCTTGGTCTTGGTCTTGCGCTCCCAGTCTTGGTCTTGGTCTTGCAGCAAGAGTCTTGCAAGTCTTGCAATTACCTATTAGTCTATTACTATTTATTAAAGTTTACTTTAAATCTTAGAAAAACGTATTAGAATTGGAACATTGTGACCTTGAATTAACATAGCCATAGTAAAGATCAAGCAGATTAATAAATAACTGAAGATTAAGAAATATAATGACTAAATGTACAATAATAGTACCTAAGTAATTACTTTAAAACCATATAAGTAATCAATATTATAATATACCGTATGTAGAAAACTCTTATACATTTATTTATACAACATACTTGTTATCGTCTATACTGACAATGTACAAAAAATGAGCAAAATCGGCCCAGTAGTTAAGCCAAAAAGTGCATTTTTCTCTTTGAGAAAACGTAAACACTCTTTAAGTTCATTGACGCAGGTCAATGCACTCCAATGCGCGACGTTGCCACTTTTCCTGTTTCGGTTTTCAAAATGAGAAAAGAATTGGTATAATCCTAACCAGACCCAAAATAATATGATAAGTTTGTCACTGCACCGTCCACTAATCCACATTTTAAAAGAAATAATCGCGATGAATCTTTAATTTACACTGTAGGTACGCACATTAAGCTATGCTAAACCAGTATAAACTGATCGTTGAATATGAAGAAAGATCATACAAAACGAGACCAAGATAAAATGGTTGTTGTTCTTGTAGGTACTCGCCGTCTGTGTTAAACTATTTATTTGCCATATTCAATGAAGATGTCGATTCACGAGTTTGATTGAAAAAAAAAACACCTCAATTCCATTCGGCTCTTGATTTGAAAACTAGAAAACACGTTTCATAAACTTTTTGTGTACCTACACAAACTTCTAGCCGCTTACAACTAGTTACAATACCTTTTATTATGAAAAGAATGAATAAAATTACCTTTTTCAGTTACGCTTAATCCGGGCTAACACACGTTTAGTTTACGCCTTAAAAAAATCTTTAAACGACAACACGGATATCTCTCACTTGTTTAATTCATTTAAACACACATCACTGATCTTACTGTTGCAATTTTCCATAATTCATTTACAGTTACAATTACAATTTATTTACTTGCACTCAGAAAACCAATCAAAACAAAATTCCTACACGAACCACGCTTACACAATGGTTGGGTGGCGGCGCTGGTGGCAGTGAAACCAACAGTGAAATTGTGCAAATATCGATTTCACAAAGAGTGTTTGGCATTTTGTAGTAGTTCGGCAATTTCTCCATAGATGGCACTATTACAATTTCTTCAAATTATGAATCAAAATTTATTAAAATTACGAATTTATTAAGGAGTCTGACATTTGTATCGAATTAATGAGTGAAATTACGTATTTATTTACCTTTCTATTTCGATTACCACATTTAAGAATCTCTTTCTGCCAATATCGTCTAGTTAACACGGAAATTGTACAAATATCGATATCACAAAGAATGTTGTAGTAGTTCGGATTTTTTTCCATAGATGGCACTTTTTCAAAAACCAAATTATGAATCAAAAATTTATAAGTTAAGAAATTCGTCGAAAAATACGAAAGTACGTATTTATTTACCGTACGTATTTCTAAGCCGATTATAACATGTAAGAAAGAGAAGATGCGAATATCGTCTCGTTGACACGCACTTGTCAGTAAATAATGAAGTAGGTAGGTACTCACAGTTGTAATACCCTTGTTCATAACATTATTGTAACCAAATGTCGGGTAGTTAACCGTTATCAAATATTAATTTAATAATTTAATTTATTCTTCAAAGATAAGTACCTACATCGGAAAACAAAACTAATGGGTACAGTGGTCAGCAGATCAACGTACACATCTGACAAATTTATTAATTGGATTTTCGACTTTATGTCAATACGATAAAGTTGAAGTTACCGTACCACTAATAAATAGGTGTAAGTACATCAGCAGTGCGGTGTATGTAATAGCCGCACCAGCGGTCGGTTTCTTTTGACGGCTTTTGTCAAAGATACCGCCGCTTGCGGCGGCATCGTGAAAGGGGTAGTTTCCCTTTCAGTACGCCGCGTTTGTGATCGAATGAGTTTGAAAATAAAATTTGTTCATCAGTTCACTGCTAGACTTCCGGGATAGTGTGTACTGTGCTTTTCGCTAATTTCCGACGGGTTACGCGCGCGTTGTGCTAAACGATTGTTGTTGTTTTTTGTAATTAATTATTATTTTAGCTCTCAGTTTTTTTAATTATTACCTAGTTTTCTTTACTGTGAACCGGACACTGACATTTGTACTTTTGTTAACTGTGTATTTTATTTTATTTATTTAACTTTTAATTGTGTGTTTACGTGTGTCTGTGTGTTGTGCCGAAATGCCGCGATATTATTACATGGTGAATGTCATCGTTAGCGTTGGCTCTGCGAACTTATCGGGGGAGGTACGGAGCATCTCGTCACTGTTCGACTGATGTTTGTACAAAGGCTTAGAGAAAATCTGCCCATAGTGCCCAATACCCATGATGGAGCTTTGCTGGTCGGCAAACTTCATCGATCTTGGAACAAAGGGTTTTAGCCTATTTCCGCAATAACCCAACCTGCAGTCTTAGGCAAGCAGAGCGTACGTTCCGTTATCGTCCAATGGTTCACGAGTTCAAAGAGTGAATGAGCCCCGTCACTGCAGTGTTACTACCAAGTAGTACCAAGCCGCGTCACCCGTGCCTTCCATAACGTATGCGACGTTGCCGCTCTTCTGAGGTCAAGGTACGTTGTTACACAGAGTGTTATACTTTCTTGAATCTATTTTATTATTTGTTTTTTTGAAAATTTCACTTTTTTAATTTAAGGTTTTCGTCTAAATCTTTGGTCGCGTTATACTTCTGTGTAATAATACTACATTATAGTTCATTTATTGTTTAAGTCCGTGCCACATTGTATACTTACTAGAATGAATTAATATGACATCTACTACCTATCCTTACCATTTTATCCTAATCATAATACTACTTGCGTGATCAGTATAATGTATTCATTTTCATTCTAAGCACTCTGAAACTTATTTATTCTTTGGAACACCTGTAGGTACTCTTAAAATTCGAAATTATTTTGCATGAGTATACCTACCCTATCGGCAATCAAATAGTTCAATTGTTATGGAGTCGGCAACGATTGTTAGATTTCAAAAGAAGCCGCCGGCGCGTGTATCATAAACCATACTTCCGAAAAGCGGCAAATTTCTTTGAGAAGTAAGTACAAAACCTTTGATGCCGCAATATCAAAGTGCCGATGGTTAAAACATAACTATGCATGCACTCAGTTTGATTTTAATAGATATTTTTTTATTCGCTATGTTTATGGTATTAGTCGTAATGCGCATAGGTCCAGGTTTTCATATTCTTCAATACAGTTTTTTGCGTCTCATAGAATTCCTAAGCGTACCTTCCTATACACCGAACTGTTACACGTAACTACTCAGTGCAATAGCTGCAAGACGCAAGAGTCTTGCAGGCTATGTCTTGTTCTTGCTCAAGTCTTGCACGGTCAGTCTTGGTCTTGGTCTTGCTAAAAATACGCGGTCTTGTTCTTGGTCTTGGTCTTGCAAAACCGCAAGAACAAGACCAAGACTGCAAGACCAAGACTGAATTTGGGCAACACTAAACCTAACGGGCAACCGGGGCTCCGGCTCGACGGGTAGGAGAAGGAACGGGGTGGTTTTTAGTCAGTAAGAGTCTGACACTCCCTCCCGCCTCAACCAGGCGGGAGCAGTCATTCGATGATTAAAAAAAACCCCTTAAAAAACCCCAATCATCATAATGATGACGATATCACAATACTCACTCTCTCCTTCGCTGGCGACCAGAGACCGGGTGGAGTTGTCGGAGATGATAGGTGGGCGTCGCACTTGAAGTTCCACTTCCGCGGTGATCTTGTTACTGATTGACATCAGCACTTGGCATTGATACCAACCAGCATCGTTTTCTTGGATGTCTTTAATCTGTTGGTAAAAAATAATTCATTTGAATTAATTAATTTAATAAACTGAGTAAAGATTATTAAAAATATATTTAAAAATTATATAATTTAAATGACTGTCTCGTTGGCCAAGTGGTCGCGAGTACGACTGCCGGGCAAGGGGTCTCGTGTTCGATTCCCAAGTCGGGCAAAGTATTACTGGGTTTTTCTCAGTGGTAGCACGGCAATAGGCTCACCCCCTATTACATGGGACTCGTAACATAAATAGTGAAAAGTGGGTGTTACATTGTACATGCATTGGTATAATGTGCACCTCTGCCTAACCCTTCGGGGATAAAAGACGTGATGTTATGTTATTATAATCGTAGATCGCATTATCGCTTACCACCAGGCGAGATAGTGGTCAAGCTTTGGCTAATGAAATATACAAGGTGTTGTTTTAAAGCCGCGTCATTTTCTAGGAGGTAGCTCGGCTATCGATTCTGAGTCCGAATCAATAAAAAAAATTGTATTTAAATATTTTTATTTTCTCTGTATATTACGGAAATCCGTAAGGGCTAACTACACGCCGCCGTCTTGTAACTAGTTTTATAACGCGGCTTAACACACACAAACTCATACACGTAATTGATATTATTCCTAATTCCATAAAACTACAATAAAAAAACATTGCTGTCGCTTATTCGGAAATATTGTCGAACTTAACGATTTATTATAGCCGTATTTTTAACTATTGGCCCGAAATTTTCTCTTACATTGAACCTTTATGACTTCTGTGACATGCCCCCGAGAATTGACACGGTTTCAAAACTACACCTTGTAAAAAAAATAATAACTTAATAGGTACTTACCGAGAGTGTGAATGTAGCAGTAGCGTCATCGTATCTAAGGGAGAAGCGGGAGTCCTTGATGATGAGACCAGCGTTCGTAGACAGCGGGATGGACTCCACTGTCTTGAAACGATCGTATTTTACCTGTGGAAAGCATAAATTGTATTATTAATGTTGTTGTGTTAAAAGTTTATTCTGATCCAGGTAGGCAGTAGGCAGAGCAGTATTTTTGTGGCAATAGTATAAAATATACAAATTGTGGAAGAGATATGTTTTGGTACGAATGGGCCGTCTAGACCGGAGTGATACCACGGCGGAACCCAACAGAAAACCGGAGTAAAACATCCAAAGCTTTATATGTATTTTTTTCTTTCAAGGATTTTTTTTAAGGGGGGAAAATCATCGTATGACTGCTCCGTCAGACTCTTACTGACTAAAAACCACCCCGTTCCTACTCCTGCACTTCGCGCCGGAGCCCCGGTAACCCGTTAGGTTCTCCGCGACTTCTTTCAAGGAATAGGAGGCAAGCGAGCAGACGGATCACCTGGTAAGCGATCATCGCCGCCCATGGACACCTGCAACACCAGAGGAGTCACTGGTGCGTTACCGGCCTTTTAAAAAGCGATTTTAAACTATTTTTATTACTTTTTTAGGTACCTATAGTATATAGATTTTAGGTATAGGTTTAAACAACTTTGGAAATAATGCATTTATTATGACCAAATCGTGATGGCTCATAGGTCTAATACGTCCGCTTCACATGCATAAGGGTGCGGGTTCGAAACCTACCAATGCGAATTTCTAAGATTATTTAGGCACCACTGACAAACGGTGAAGGAAAACATCGTGAGGAAACCTAGACTTTATAATTTCTAATAACAAGTTTGAAATTGCCAACTCGCATTGAGCAAACCAACCAGGTTTGCTCAATGCGGGTGCTTAATGTAAATTAAATTAATGCTTAAACTGTCTCTGTAAGAGTAGAAGCCTTTAGTCAGCCAGCAGTGGCACTTATAGGCTATTGATGTGTATGACCAAATACATGGTCAATGCATTTAATTTTAAACTCATAATGATAAAAAAAAACAATTTTATAGTATATAGTACTTGAACACATTTCTATGTTTAAATAAACGTGAAAATAAACATACAGAAACAGATTTAAACTACATAATGATGATTATAATTTCATGATGACAAAAACAAGATGTTACATATTAAACGCTAAGTCCTTGATAAAATCAGAATCACTTTACCGTGAATATTTATGTTGCTATTTATAGAACAACCTAATAATATTGTAGGTACGTTATACCACCACGCCTGTTCTTCCCGCGGGTATCGTATACCCGACTAATATACACATTATGTCAAAAATTATAAACCAGGTACACACTATAAATCCATTAAAGTGATTTGATTTGACTAAAGTGACTACCTACACATATTTTTATATTTCATGAGACGACGTTAAACCAGTATCGCCGGTAGTAAGCGATAATGCGGTCTACGATGGAGCACGTCGTCCCATAAGCAACCTATTCAATCGGGCCATGAAGACACCCAGGTTAAAAAAACAGCGGGCAGCAGTACTCTTTGATAAATCAGAGCCTTTTAAACTGCGACCTAACACCGCGAAAAATGGATACTAATGCAAACCTCTACGGTGGAACACACTGTAGCGGAATGCCCTCCGTGGGCTGAGCACCGCCGTGCCCTCAGGGACATGATTGGCGATAGCGACCTCTTGCGTCCGGCCCTAGGGCAGGTCATGATGCGGAGCGAGGGGGACTGGGATGCCTCCTTTTGTGAAGCAGTCATGCTAGCTAAGGAGGCGGGACGCGTGAGGCAGCGAAGCGCCGCCTCCTCACAACCCAGCCATCGCGAAGGACACTCCGGGCATCGGGGATCGCGGGACGATCTCCGGCCACCGTAAGCGTGGGCCTACGGACGACGAGCATGGGGGGCTCGTCCGACCAGAATCAGAACCGAGCGCGCGCCTCAAAGAGCCATCAGACCACCACAAATGGGGCCCAATAGGGCTGTAGCCGAATCAGAGTAGCGGAGAACCTAACGGGGTACCGGGGCTCCGGCTCGAAGAGCAGGAGAAGGAACGGGATGGTTTTTAGTCAGTAAGAGCCTGATACTCCGTTCCGCCTCACCCAGGCGGGAAAAAAATTGCAAACCTCTTCTGCAGAGGAGGCCCATTAGTCCAGCAGTGAACTATTACGACATAATAGCATAAACAAGATGTTACGAATTAAACGTGTATGTCCTTGATACAATCAGAATCACTTTACCTCTAATATCTACATGTTGCTATTAATAGAACAAGTATTTCAGTATTTGTCTACGAATTCCGTAGGTTTTTTTAAGACTTGTAAAACCAAGTGTAGGAGAGCCATGCTTCGGCACGAATGGGCCGACTCGACCGGAGTGATACCGGCCGAGCAGAAAACCTACGTGAAACAACACATGCGTTGTGTTTCGTCGTCTGTATGAGGTTACCGGAGGCTCAATCTCCCCAATCCCTGAATCCCCAACAATTTTCAAATTCCTAAAAGGCCGGTAACGCACTTGTAGCGCATCTGGTGTTCCAGGTGTCCATGGGCGGCGCCCATTGCTTACCATCAGGTGGATCTGCTCGTTTACCGGCTTATCCCATAAGAAAAGCCTAAGAATATTAATTGCGAATTTTTTAGGTAGATACGTTGCTTGTAGTCTGGAAAATCTACGTGCGCAACGAGACGATATCGCATAGCCAATACACGCTCATCAATATGAGCTCCAGTATGACTTGAAACTAGTAAACTTTTCTCGAATATTTTACGTATTTTACTTTTTCTGCGTTTCTGTGGCGTTAAAAGTAGCCTGTGTTATTTCAGATTTCAGACCATAATCTACTTTTGTTCTGAATTTAATCTCGATCCTTTCAGCTGATTTGAAGTGATTAAGGAACAAACATACACACAATCACACAAACTTTCGGACTAACAATATTAGTAAGATACATAATTATTTGCTACAAAACCACGTTTCAAAAAACCAACTTCAACACCCTCTTATTTGAAGTCTGATAATTAATATACTAAAATCTTTTCCTAATAGTGGATCCCCACCACCCGGATGAACGCGTGACGCGCCGCGGCTTTTGTGTGCTGCATTCGCAACAAAGCCGGCGGCTTTGCTTGTTGTCAACCCGCCGGCAGTGCCGGGCTGTGTGGATCCCCATAAGCATAAAAAACACTTTTTTGATAACCGCATCGAAATCGGTTTAGCCAATCGCGAGATATTTGTGCACAAACATACATACAGGTCAAATTGAGAACCTCTATTTTGAAGTTGGTTAAAATGACCAGTATGCCAGTATGTTTTTGTCTAAAGAGGTAGATAGTCCCATTGTGTTGAAACAAGTAAGTTCTAGCACAATGGCTAGGGATCTCTTAAACTAAACTAGAATGATTGTCTCACTACTTCACGTCGAAAATCAATGTAAATAAATATTAGGACTTTAGTCACTATACACATATTGTGACGAGAAGTTGTGTGCTCGAAATTACAATTACTATGTGAGTATCCATTTTATTTTATCTTATCTTATACTATTACTAGCGACCCGCCCCGGCTTCGCACGGGTGCAATATGTATATACATACAAACCTTCCTTAAGAATCACTCTATCTATTAAAAAAAACCGCATCAAAATCCGTTGCGTAGTTTTAAAGATCTAAGCATACATACGGACATACAGCGAAAGCGACTTTGTTTTATACTATGTATTGATATAAAGCGGAAGAGTTTGTTTTTTGTTTGTTTGTTTGTTTGAACGCGCTAATCTCCGTAACAACAACTCTGATTTGAATAATTATTTTTGTGTTGGATAGCGCATTTATCGAGGATGGCTATAGGCTAAAACATCACGCTACGAACAATAGGAGCTGAGCAGAGCGTGTGAAACCGCGCGGAAGTAGCTAGTGTGTGTATAACAAGATTTAGCCTGCGGCTTCGCACGAATGGTTTTATGTTTGAAAACCTTCCTTTTGAATCACTCTTAACTATTAAAAAACCTTATCAAAATCCGTTGGGCAGTTCTAAAGATACAAACATACATAGTGAGCGATAGACAGCCAGAATGACGACTTTGATGCTAAGTATGTAGTGTTATGTTTGTCATCAGCATCCTCTACATAAGAGCCTCCTCTACACATAAGAGCCTTCTACATATATCCTCTATATAAGAGGGTTTTGTCATAATCTCTACTCTTGACAGGTGAGTTGGTGATTTTAGTTATTAAAATTAATAATAATAGTTAATTAAAATAATAAGTATTGGAATACAATATTAAACTTTTATGTAAGTAGTTATTATAATTATACATACCTATATACTTAATATCATCTTATTGCCATATTTTAATCTTTGTTTTGTTAATATCTTAACATTATATAACATTTTTAAGTAATTTAATAATTGTAACCTATTAATTGTAAGTATTGAAAATAACATACGTCGAAGTTATATTAATGATTCCTATTATTTTGTAAGAAGCGTAAGTAATTTAGCGGTGCCCAAGATCAAGGAGGACCCATTCATATCCGCTCTGTATACTTCTTTCATTACTCTACTTTCATCCATCCTTTCTAATTTTGTATACCTAATTAAAAAAATTGTCTCTAGTTTTGGTCTAGCCTAGCTATGTATTAATATTTTATAAAAGGTATCTTTATGCTGCAGTAACTATTAATTATCCATTCTTCTACATGAACTAACTATAAAGGTAACTGCCCAATTGGTCTCGTAATTACGATTACAAAACCAATGAGGCAATCTCTGTATTGTTCATCATAATTATTTTATTAAAATTTTGAGATCTTATTGTTTGCAAACAAAGATTAATTAACTTGGAAACAAAGGATGATATATAAGGATAAAGTAATAATTTAACGTACGATAAATATAGGCATGTTTTTACATACATACATTTTTATAAGCTAGGCCTTTTGTCCCATGATAGGTAGAAACCACAGAGCGGCACCTACAACGCTCCTCACATACTTCTTCAGCTTCCATCACATTCATACATCCGATGGTATACAGAAACTACAGAGCGCCACCTACTACGCTCCTTACACACTTCTTTAGCTTCCATCACATTCATACATCTGATGGTATACAGAAACTACAGAGCGCCGCCTACAACGCTCCTTACATACTTCTTTAGCTTCCATCACATTCATACATCTGATGGTATACAGAAACTACAGAGCGCCGCCTACAACGCTCCTTACACACTTCTTTAGCTTCCATCACATTCATACATCCGATGGTATACAGAAACTACAGAGCGCCACCTACTACGCTCCTTACACACTTCTTTAGCTTCCATCACATTCATACATCTGATGGTATACAGAAACTACAGAGCGCCGCCTACAACGCTCCTTACATACTTCTTTAGCTTCCATCACATTCATACATCTGATGGTATACAGAAACTACAGAGCGCCGCCTACAACGCTCCTTACACACTTCTTTAGCTTCCATCACATTCATACATCCGATGGTATACAGAAACTACAGAGCGCCACCTACTACGCTCCTTACACACTTCTTTAGCTTCCATCACATTCATACATCTGATGGTATACAGAAACTACAGAGCGCCGCCTACAACGCTCCTTACATACTTCTTTAGCTTCCATCACATTCATACATCTGATGGTATACAGAAACTACAGAGCGCCGCCTACAACGCTCCTTACACACTTCTTTAGCTTCCATCACATTCATACATCTGATGGTATACAGAAACTACAGAGCGCCATCTACTACGCTCCTTACATACTTCTTTAGCTTCCATCACATGCATACATCTGATGGTATACAGAAACTACAGAGCTCCACCTACTACGCTCCTTACATACTTCTTCAGCTTCCATCACATTCATACATCCGATGGTATACAGAAACTACAGAGCGCCACATACTACGCTCCTTACACACTTCTTTAGCTTCCATCACATTCATACATCTGATGGTATACAGAAACTACAGAGCGCCACCTACTACGCTCCTTACACACTTCTTTAGCTTCCATCACATTCATACATCTGATGGTATACAGAAACTACAGAGCGCCGCCTACAACGCTCCTTACATACTTCTTTAGCTTCCATCACATTCATACATCTGATGGTATACAGAAACTACAGAGCGCCGCCTACAACGCTCCTTACACACTTCTTTAGCTTCCATCACATTCATACATCTGATGGTATACAGAAACTACAGAGCGCCACCTACTACGCTCCTTACACACTTCTTTAGCTTCCATCACATTCATACATCTGATGGTATACAGAAACTACAGAGCGCCGCCTACAACGCTCCTTACATACTTCTTTAGCTTCCATCACATTCATACATCTGATGGTATACAGAAACTACAGAGCGCCGCCTACAACGCTCCTTACACACTTCTTTAGCTTCCATCACATTCATACATCCGATGGTATACAGAAACTACAGAGCGCCACCTACTACGCTCCTTACACACTTCTTTAGCTTCCATCACATTCATACATCTGATGGTATACAGAAACTACAGAGCGCCGCCTACAACGCTCCTTACATACTTCTTTAGCTTCCATCACATTCATACATCTGATGGTATACAGAAACTACAGAGCGCCGCCTACAACGCTCCTTACACACTTCTTTAGCTTCCATCACATTCATACATCTGATGGTATACAGAAACTACAGAGCGCCATCTACTACGCTCCTTACATACTTCTTTAGCTTCCATCACATGCATACATCTGATGGTATACAGAAACTACAGAGCTCCACCTACTACGCTCCTTACATACTTCTTCAGCTTCCATCACATTCATACATCCGATGGTATACAGAAACTACAGAGCGCCACATACTACGCTCCTTACACACTTCTTTAGCTTCCATCACATTCATACATCTGATGGTATACAGAAACTACAGAGCGCCATCTACTACGCTCCTTACATACTTCTTTAGCTTCCATCACATGCATACATCTGATGGTATACAGAAACTACAGAGCTCCACCTACTACGCTCCTTACATACTTCTTTAGCTTCCATCACATTCACACATCTGATGGTATACAGAAACTACAGAGCGCCACCTACTACGCTCCTTACATACTTCTTTAGCTTCCATCACATTCATACATCTGATGGTATACAGAAACTACAGAGCGCCACATACTACGCTCCTTACATACTTCTTCAGCTTCCATCACATTCATACATCCGATGGTATACAGAAACTACAGAGCGCCACATACTACGCTCCTTACACACTTCTTTAGCTTCCATCACATTCATACATCTGATGGTATACAGAAACTACAGAGCGCCATCTACTACGCTCCTTACATACTTCTTTAGCTTCCATCACATGCATACATCTGATGGTATACAGAAACTACAGAGCTCCACCTACTACGCTCCTTACATACTTCTTTAGCTTCCATCACATTCACACATCTGATGGTATACAGAAACTACAGAGCGCCACCTACTACGCTCCTTACATACTTCTTTAGCTTCCATCACATTCATACATCTGATGGTATACAGAAACTACAGAGCGCCACATACTACGCTCCTTACATACTTCTTCAGCTTCCATCACATTCATACATCCGATGGTATACAGAAACTACAGAGCGCCACATACTACGCTCCTTACACACTTCTTTAGCTTCCATCACATTCATACATCTGATGGTATACAGAAACTACAGAGCGCCATCTACTACGCTCCTTACATACTTCTTTAGCTTCCATCACATGCATACATCTGATGGTATACAGAAACTACAGAGCTCCACCTACTACGCTCCTTACATACTTCTTTAGCTTCCATCACATTCACACATCTGATGGTATACAGAAACTACAGAGCGCCACCTACTACGCTCCTTACATACTTCTTTAGCTTCCATCACATTCACACATCTGATGGTATACAGAAACTACAGAGCGCCACCTACTACGCTCCTTACATACTTCTTTAGCTTCCATCACATTCACACATCTGATGGTATACAGAAACTACAGAGCGCCACCTACTACGCTCCTTACATACTTCTTTAGCTTCCATCACATTCATACATCTGATGGTATACAGAAACTACAGAGCGCCGCCTACAACGCTCCTTACACACTTCTTTAGCTTCCATCACATTCATACATCTGATGGTATACAGAAACTACAGAGCGCCATCTACTACGCTCCTTACATACTTCTTTAGCTTCCATCACATGCATACATCTGATGGTATACAGAAACTACAGAGCTCCACCTACTACGCTCCTTACATACTTCTTTAGCTTCCATCACATTCACACATCTGATGGTATACAGAAACTACAGAGCGCCACCTACTACGCTCCTTACATACTTCTTTAGCTTCCATCACATTCATACATCTGATGGTATACAGAAACTACAGAGCGCCACATACTACGCTCCTTACATACTTCTTTAGCTTCCAACACATTCATATATCTCTCTAAAAGGTCTCCAATAATTAAATACCTATAGTGTTACCAGTTTTCTTCTGGTGGCATCATCATAAACACACTCATCGCACCGAAACTCCCCAAAATCTGTTCATACAAAAATAGTCTCCAAACTTCGGAAATAAGATCCATAATGGAGTTAGTCGAGACCAGTCACCGGTGAGCACTTGGGGATTGATCAGGGTGCTTACTCTTGAAACTAATCTCAATGTCAATGCAATTTCAATTCAATAAAATCTCAATAATTGTTCAATGTCAAAACTATACAACCCCTTTCGTAACTGTTAAAATAGCATTCAGAGTACAGAATATAAAGCCAAACTCAATACCATTTAGTTCATTAAATATACATGCAATACGGATGCAATGAGTGCTAGTGTTGCAACTAAAGAATACGAAATTACACAATACTAATGTTGATAGAATTGGATTCAAGCGTAAGCCCCCAGTTGTCTTTCTATGATGATAATAATTGGGTACTTGCCAACTAGTCAAATTCAATACCTGAGTACTTTGTGAAACAAGTGAATTTATTTCTACAAGGCAGCACTTTTACACTTCAATTTTATCAAGCGAACGATGAGGATGTAACTGACTACTCTGAGAAGAAATGCCGAAACAAACTCAAAATCTGTCTCTTTTAAAGTCCAGACAAATGTGTATAAAAGATTATGTGTGAGAACCGTGCAAGTTCTTTCTGTAGTGGCCTTTTGAGGAAAGAACCAACTTTTTTCGAATAGTCAAAAACTACAGTTTTCTATGAATTTTGCATGAGATTGTGACATCACGTTTTTTTAGCGTCAAACAGCATACTTATTCCTTAAAAATTTGCTACAAAATTACTAAAATTAAGTTGGACATAAAATTGATTAATATTTTATTATATTGAAGTTGAACAGACGAAATAATTTATTTTTGATTAAGTAAAGTACCCAATTCACAAGTTACTCTAGTTTATATGTTAGTGGTTGGTTTAAAAATTTAATTTCAACATGCTGCTTACCCATATCACAGGGAAGTCCTGAGCGTAGTGCACAGAACAGTCTAAGTCAACTTGACCTCCAATATCTCTGATCTGCTCCTGTGTTATATGCGATATGGTCGGTGTTCTTTGTCCTGATGCTGGAACAATAGATAATAGTTAGTAAAAAAAGTACTTATTAGTGTACTTTTTGGTAATACAATAGGTCTTACATTTATTATTATAGTAACACAAGAAGCTGCCCATTAGGCATACACTATTTAAAAGAATGACATAAGTAAGACTGCCTTGTTGGCCAAGTGGTTGCAAGTGCGACTGACGAGATTCACAGGTCGGGCGGTTTTTAACAAATCCAGTTATACTTTATTACTGGATTTGTTAAAAAAATCTCAGTAGCAGCACGGAGTCTGGAAATGCACCCGGTATATGGCAATAAGCTCATCCCCTATTACATGGGACTCATAACATAAATAATGAAAAATAGGTTTGACATTGTAGTTGCATTAAGTGCCGTAATGTGCTTCTATGGCTACCTCCTTTAAAGGCGTTATGTTATGTTATTTAAAAGTATAAAAATTGTAATTATCATAATCAAAATAAAAATAAACAAAAATGTTAAAATAAAATTGTAGTGTGTAACATAGGTACTACTTTATAAAAATATTGATTAGACATACTGTAAAAAAAAATTGTATGACAAGGGCACGGACGAAGAGTCCATGGAGAATTAACATTGAAGAAAAGCTAATTTAAGCTTGATTGTGTCTGTATTAAAGTTAAATAAATATCAAACCTGTTTCTTTGAATAATTATGGACATTATGAATACTCTAATTGGGGTTATTTACTTATTATTAGTCAACAGATACTTAAAAGTGACTAATAATAAAATATCTAATATTCAACTTAAAAAAAACTGGCAAGAAAATGGAAATAATTCTTAGGTCATTCATTGTAATTTTTCTCAGCATTGAACTACAAAAGCTTGTTTTTAAACCAGGATGAGGTTAATATGACAAACGAAAAAGAATAAAGGGCCAATTCCCGCCATTTAACGTCAATTTATGATCTACGTAGAGGTACTTATTGCCGGATCTAATCAAAATGATTCGACGACTTACTTCGACAGTTATTCCTATGAAAAATATACATCCAAAACAAATGAAAATCATGACAATTTTTGTTCGTTGAGCATTAATTTTAGACATTTTTGATTCTGTTCCTCAAATAAAAAAGTAAGATAATAATTTTCATTCAATTTTGAAATTGGAATGTAAAGTTTGACGAGGTAAAATCGGCTAAGTAACTGATTTACTGTTTTTGTAAAAACAAAATCTGGTTTTTGAAGGATGATATTAGTAATTTAATGTCGTTGTTTTAACATAATAAAAGCCAATAAAAAGAATAATAAATGATTGGAATCAATGACGATCTCAAAACAATAAAGGGTGTGTCATCCACAATAGCGTAAACAGTTGAAAGTGCAAAAGTTTATAGGCGTGGATTTGTGAATATACGTATGAATACGCCATTTTAGTTCACGGAAATACTTCATCACAGTTTAAAATCATTGTTTTTACTCACCACATGTTGATATGCACAGTAATATTGTTAAATAAACGTAATTTTTGAACTCCATTGTGAGAATACGCATCACTGCACGATCATCAACAGAAAACTTTGATTTTTTTTTTATTCCGTTTGAATGGTTTGTTTGAATGTGAACGAATGATAAATGAAATGCTGCATAGATAATATTTTGAGAAGTTAAAAAGTTAACTTTCAATTTTAATGAAAACTCTTCAAAATTCGTTAACTCCGAATATTCTATAAATAACTACAAATTTTGGGAAACTACTTTCAATTTTCTAAAAAATAATAAATAGTTTCAATGAATGAATGTATTTTTGAATGAAACTCAACAAGATTAATCTTTTTCTTAAGACCGAATGACAGTTGCCATGACCACGCCTCGCTCAGACAATAAAGTAGTTCCAGTATAGTACTATTTTTTGAAGATAGATGTCAGTAATATGAGGCTTTGAAATAGTTTTGCTAAACTAAACTAGATGGCGGTGTTACTTCCTATGGACTTAAAAATAACGCGAAATTAAAACTAGTTTAGTTCTAATTTTACCTAGATAGTCTTCGTATTCAGGTATGTGCGTCCTATATTATTTATTTGCTATTATTCGTACAAAGGTTTATAATTAATAAGGCTTTAAAAAAGCAAGGTTTAATTCAGAACTAATTAATTCCGTATGACATCTACTTATATTACTGTAGTGTACTGCAATTATGCAATCTAATAAAAAAAATGTAAGTATCTCAATTTAATGACCTCAGTTTCATCAGTCTTTTGTTCCGGTTTCGGCAAAGCTGTTTTTAACATGGAAACGGTGCCTTAAAAATGTGTGGTTATTTAATAGATAACTTTTAACAAGTAGTAAAGGCACTTTTAGCCTTTAGTTATCAAGTTAATAAAATAAAAAATAAATAAAAAAAACCTTATATTTCCCAATAGTTTAATTTTTAGGGAACCCCTGAGGTGAAGGCCTCCTCCAGACACTGCCATCTTTCTCGATCTTTTGCTGTTATCAAGTTAAAAATGTTTTTATTTTGCAAATACTTATTTCACTTATTCTTTTATAAACAACGTTTAAAAAAGCAACTTCAACCACATCTGTTTTGAAGTAGATTATAATTAATAAAGTAAAACCTTCTCCTTAGTGAAACAAACCCTTTTCAGAAAACCGCGTCAAAATCGGTTAGGTACGCCAATCGCGAGATAATCGCTCACAAACATACATACAGGTTAAAGAAAGAACCTGTTCCTTTTTTGAAATCGGTTAAAAAACCTTGATCACCTCATTTTGAAAAATGCGTGATATTCACGAGACGGATGTTTAAGTATTATTAACTAGTTACTAGCAGACCCGGCAAACTTCGTACTGCCTTACAAATTCGTACAAATTTGTTTTCTCACCTTTTAAACCTTCCCTGGACTTCCACGAACATTTCAAGACCAAAATTGACCAATTCGATTCAGCCATTCTCGAATTTAAGCGAGAGTAACGAACGGAACCCCATTTTTTATGGAATAGGAGGCAAACGAGCTTACGGATCACCTGATAGTAAGCGATCAACGCCGCCCATGCACACCCACAGCACCAGAGAAGTCACAGATGCGTTGGTAAAAAGGAATACGCTCTTTTCTTGAAGGTTTGAAGGTCGTATCGGTTCGTTTTATTTATATAGATTGTGCATTATACTTAGACCTACTGTTGATGATCATCGTACGACTGATTTTAATTACTTATAATAAATTATGAACTTGAACTTGACTTTTGTGATAACATGAACATGTTTACGGCAACATATGTCTGAACAGTCCATTACTCAACTATAGGTCTCTTTTATAATATAAAGGGTTTTTTTAATGGGACAAGCCCGCCACTACCTCGAAATACCGCTGCACCTCCTGTAAGCCAGGATCTACAATAGATACAACCATGAAAACACCGGAACACTGAAGTCCGGCGCGTCCCAGGGACATGAATGTCTTGGTTTCCGCAACGAAGTGAATCAGAAGATATATTTTTATGGTTTAAGCCGGTAAACGAGCAGACAGATTACCTGATGGTAAGCAATCGGCGTCGCCCATGGACACCTGGAACACCAGAGGCGTTATAAGTGCGTTACCGGCTTTATGGGGATTAGAAGTTTGAGGATAGTTGGGGATTCAGGGATTGGGGAGAATGGGGAAGGGGGGGGGGGGTAATTGGGCCTCCGGTAACCTCACTCACACGACGAAACACAACGCTAGCGTTGCTTCACGTTGGTTTTCTGTGAGATCACTCCGGTCGAGCCGGCCCATTCGTGCCGAAGCATGGCTCTCCCACATTTACGTGAGGAGTTATATTATAAGAGGAGAAGAAAAAGCGTTGGTTTCCACTTCCCCCGTTCCATATAAAGGGTTTGCTATGATCGCATTTTAATGGCTTACGCAGACCGTGACAACATGGCTTTTTTTTGAGAAGGGAGAATCATCCAATGACTTCTCCCGCCTTGGGTTAGACGGGAGGGAGTGTCAGACTCTTACTGACTAGGGCAGGCGGGAGAAGTCATTCGATGATTTTCCCCCCTTAAAAAAATCATATCAAATCAGTTGGCATTCCACGTGGATAAACAAGTAAACCCGTAGATACTCAGTAGACAGATAACACTATCATTTAATCGAAGAAATGAAATTAATTCGGTACAATACGTGATGTGATAGTATCGTAAAAATACTAATTAAAAACCATCATACATCATTGTTGATATATCAATTATTAATACCACGTGCGAAACTATGATCTGAAAGTTGCTTAATTCCCCATAACATAACATCACGCCTTTTGGCACTTAAATCCATTATACAATGTAACACCCACTTTTCGCTATGTGTGTTATGAGTCCCATGTAATAGGGAGTGAGCCTATTGCCATATATCGGGCACAATTCCGGACTCAATATACATACCATTATAGATTTCGTTACACCAAAACTAATGCATTTTGCACAAGGATTTTCTCCTGTGCCGAGTGCGTTTACAAATACACATGACACCCAGACAAGGAACAACAATCTGTGGATCACACAAAGAGTTGTTCCGTGCGGGAATAGAAGCCGCGTCACGTTATCCGGCAGCCAGTTGCCCAGCCACCGCGCCAACCGTGCAGTCAGTCATCTATCTATTAGATTTCATCTACTTAGGTATGTATAAGACTAGCTGTTTCCCGCGATTTTATCCGCGTAAAATAATGACTTTTGACAGAATTTGGGTTATCTATTAATAGTGTAAGCAATATAATTATTATTATTATTCAATTCAAACAAACAAACAAAAAATCAAATCTTTCCTGTTTATGTTAGTGTAGATGTAGACAGAGTAAATCCCCCTTCGGCTCTTTCTAAAGTCGATTCAAACAAATAACAAACTTCGGTATAATTATGTATAGGCTTACGTATTAGTCAAGATAATTTTATACATATTACAATCATGGCTACCCGGTTATCGCGCCATGAAAGTGGGCAAAGAGTGGCAATTAGAACTAAATTAGATGTGCCATATCTTTGGTTAACTGAAAAACAGTGAAGATATTTTGCCTACATTTATAAGTATACTAGACCTTTTTTTTAATGGGACAAGCCCTATAAAAAGCGAAGTGTATTAGAGGTTTTTTTATTAAGACAAGCCCGCCACAACCTCCCAAAACCGCTGCAACTCCTGTAAGCCATAAACTACAGTAGATATAACCATGAAAACACCGGAACATTGAAGTCCGGCGCGTCCCAGGGACATGAGTAACTGTCTTGGTGTCTTGGAATGAAATACTGTAGTCAACTATTGGGATATTAAAAATCATCAACATTTCTATTTTCCTCGTTGGCCTCGTGCCTCGTTGGCCTCGTGCGACTTGCCAGGCAAGGGCGATTCCCGGGTCGGGCAAAGAATTTCTGGGTTTTTAAAAAAAAATCTCAGTAGTAGCACGGAGTCTGGAAATGTGCCCGGTATATGGCAATATGATCACCCCCTATTACATGGGACTTATAACATTGATAGTGAAAAGTGGGTGTTACATTTGTGTGCTCCTCTGCCTACCTCTTCGGGGATAAACGGCATGATGTTATTATGTTATTTCTATTTTTGTGTCTTACGCCCGAATACTGAAAGGCTACTCAATTTTAAATATAGACCTGTCACAATCACGGGACGATCTCCGGCCACCGTAAGCACGGGCCTGCGGACGGCGAGCATAGGTGGCTCCCCGTCCGACCAGAACCAGACCCGAGCGTACGGCGCGTCGCGTTCCGCGCGCGTCTCAAAGAGCCATCAGACCACCACAGATAAGGCCCAACAGGGCCGATGCCGATTCAGAGCCGCGGAGAACCTAACGGGTTACCGGGGCTCCGGCTCGAAGTGCAGGAGAAGGAACGGGGTGGTTTTTAGTCAGTAAGAGTCTGACACTCCCTCCCACCTCACCCAGGCGGGAGCAGTATTCGATGATTTCCCTTTGATGGACTTTTTTAAGTAAAAAATGTATGTAATGAGTAATAGAGAGCAATATTCTGGCGGTGACGTAGTTGGTCGTACTCTGTATGTATAGGCATAAAAGTCCAAATAATGCGTGTCGCATCTATCCTAGTATTTTATATTACATGTCGATAATATCAGTTATCTACATGTTACATAATAAAATAATATTAACGATAACTTTCGAACCAACACAGTTATTCCTGTAGAGACTTCCATACGATTCATATGTAAGTAGATTTTATTTTATTCTATTTTATTTGTTTTAGTGAGTAATAGGATCTACGATTTTGAAAAGAGCAGCTTCGCCTAGGTTCACTGACGAACTGACTAACCGACTATTATTTATTTTGTATTTGTTGTCGTTTCAAAAGTACCAAAATATGGTTTAATTGAAATAAATGCTTTGACTTTGTAAAATTGTATGATTATAATATAATATTATCTACCTAGTTATAAATTAAAATTGCTGCGCCCTAACAGGGTAATGTACTGAATTAGTTGTATATAACACTTAGTACATACTTACAATATTAATATATAAATAAAATAAATATAAGGCATCTGTTTTAAAC